ATCTTTAGTGTTGTTCCATTTTTATGTTACAAACTAAGTGATTTGTGCCTTTTCTAACACCCCCCCCCCCCCCAAAAAAAAAAAAAAAAAAAAAAAGAAAAAGGAAAAGAGAAAGAAATGGCCAGCACATTTAACTATAGGTTCATTTGGGGCATAGGCTGAAAATGAATTGAATTAAGATTGTAAAGAAGGATTTATGCTGCTTACTCAGTTTGTGATTAACATATGTTGTTTTGAAGCCATTCATTGCATCCTATGTTGAATCAAAAGCTTTGTGTTATTGTTGCTGATGAAAGCTCCTCTTACAACCATATGCATATTTTCTTCCAGCTTGCAACTTATTCGCAAAGGCTTGCGGGATTTGGCTGTTTCCCAGTCTGCTACTCCAAAGCTAGATCATAGTAGTAAATTTGCAGTTACAGCAGCAGCAGGTGCTGATGCACCTGAAAATGAGCTCAAAGAAGTCATAAGCCAGGTTGCAGTAGAAATTGGTGGACTTTATGTACTGAAGTCATCCCTGGAGCATCCAGAATATGATCCATTCAGGTTGTTTAAATATTTAATTTTTTTAATAGCATCAAATGTTTTAGAAGATAATAAATGCTGTAAATTTATCCCTAAATTTTCTCTGTTTTCTGAAAACCATTTTTCTCTGTCAAGCAGGAACGTTGTCATTGATCTCCTTCTTGTAAATGGGAAATTTAAGAAAGCTGAAGTGAAGCAAGCTGCTTCTATTGCTCTTAAAAGGGAAATCACTGACAACGAATACAATAAGGTCTGCCATGTAATCTTTAGACATTTTGTGGCTTAATTTGGTCTTCCTCTTTAGAGTTGCTTTTGATCCTTAGTTGTTAGCTATTATCATCAATGGATCAGGTTGCCATTTATTTTGGACCATAATTTTTACTTTCTATCACCAAGGTCAAACATTCATAGAATTGGCTTATGCAGTGAGAGACATTGTATATCATTCAAAAGCATTTCCCGATTCCAGTTGGGGCTCATACACGCTTGTTCTAAAGTACTACTCCTTTTGTTTTGCAGGTCGTGACTGACTTTTGTGAATATAAAAGTGGTTGGTGGGTCTTGAAAAGCGGTGATGGCAAGCCAAACTAATTTTGTATATACTGTTGCATATTGTTTAGAAATTGGAATGATGAGAAAATATTTTCGGTTCAAAGAAGAGGCAGTGTACAAATCTTCTTCTGCTTCTTCTTCTGCTTCTTCTTCTTCTTCTATTTTTTTTCCTTGGTATTCAAGCAAGCATAGGCAAAGTAGTGATAATGGACGCATCAAACAAGCGAAATCATTTTTGGGATATAGCATTGGATCATGTCTTAACTCTTCGTCATGAATGGTATGTTGTTTTAATCAAATCATTTGAATTCCATCCAAAAAAAGAAAAAGAAAAACCAATTATTTGAAAAAAAATTGAAAAAGAAGAAGTATGGGGCTAAATACACTAGGGGTGTTTGGTGCGGTGTTCAACGGTTTCCATTATTCCGAATATTATAAATATTAGATAACATTTAATAGTTGATTTTATTTTTTCTTTAACATTTTATCATGGGTCGGTTCGAACCATCATCTTGAGAAAGGAGACATGATCCTTACATGACTAAAGCTGTCTTGAGAAAGGAAACATGATCCTTACATGACTAAAGCTACTTGGCCAGGTTCAATTTATATTAGTTATATACCGTAATAAAGATAAAAATTTGCCCCCCACCAGCCCCGCCCCTATAAAAAAAAAAAAAAAAAAAAAGATCAAAATAGGGGTATCCTTGGAACTCCAGTGATCCACTCAACGGCGGTAACTGCTAAGCCGAGGCCTGGTTAACTTGTGAGCTTCTGGTGATTTTTCACAACAATGCCCGTAGAAATTAGAAACCGTACTTTTTGTCCGTGAGGATTATAATTTTCGGCGGTAAGCTTGCCCTTTTTCGCATAATAAAATATAAATCAGAGCTGTTAACGTAACATTCTCTTAGACATAAGCCGTATTTCTAGAATCTTCCTTGTTTCTTCAGTTCTCTCACTGACAACCGAGAAACGTAGGTATAAGGCCAGGCAGGCATGATGACTGATTCCGAAGCACGATACCAGGGGAACGGAGGGGACGTTGGAAACAACTATGCCGTTGGCGATTCTCCTCAGCCTCGCGACACTGGCCACGGCGGTGCCGATGATCACAGCGATTCGAAATCTCAGGTAAGCATGTTGTTGGTTCGATGAGTTTATCTCAGCATCTCATCCGTGATTGTTTCTTTCCTTCTTTTGAAGTCGATTCGTCTATTTAGTATTTCTATGAGCTGATTCCTTTGTCTCTTTCTTTGAGATTATCACCGAGTTTTGATTTTGGAAGCTATTTTAGTTTTAGGAGCGAATTATGCCTAGAGAAGGTTTTGTTAGTTTCGCAGAGTCTAATGGCTATGCTTTCCAAAATTTGTGCTCCTGTACTGGTTTGGAGTATGGAATATTTGTTTATGTTAATTGGCTATATGCAGAATGGATCTCGTAAGTACGAAAGAGAGTCCTCAAGAAGTTAGGAAAGGGAGAAGGAGCGTGATAAGGATAGGGAGAAGGACCGGGACCATCACAGGGAGAAAAGCAGGGATAGGGATAGGGAGCGGGAAAAGGATCGTGACCGCCATCATAGGGAACGGCATAGGGATCGCAGTAGGGAACGCAGTGAGAGAAGAGATCGGAGAAGAGATAGAGATGACGATGACGATGATCATTACCGAAGCCGAGATTATGATAGGTAATTGAAACTTAATCAATATTTGATTTGTCTTTTCATTTTGTTTTGAGTTTTTTGTACTAAAGAAGCCAATTTTATTCTCTTAGTATTCATGGTTAATGTTGATTAAATGTCTTATAGACACAGATTATGATAGAGACAGAAGGGATATGCACAGCCGCCGGTCTCGATCTCATTCAACAGCTAAATCTGAGCATAGGTCAAGGTCAAGATCCCTTTCACCTTCACCTTCTCCGTCTCTGTCTGGTTCAAGAAGGTAGGTTGTGAGAATGTCTAGTAGTACTAAACGTACTAGTTTCCCAGTGCTTGATTATTGAACTTCTGACTGTAGAATGTCATTATTTTAACAAGTTTGCGGTTTACTTCAGTTATTTTCTCATGTTTTTTATTTGCTAACTGCATTTACAGGCAGCAAAAGGATAAGTGGATTTGACTGGGCACCTCCACCAGAGATGTTAGCTGCCAGTGCTGCTGCTGCTGCTGCTGCTGCTGTTCCTGCTGTTGCTGCAGGTACATAAGCCCTTGTATCTATTTGAAATTTTCATACTTTGTTAACTGCTATTTTTCTTTTTGCTTGATTTAGTGTGGACAGTTCGTATCAAAATACTGGTGTAATTTCGGTAAGCTGTATTTGTTTTTCCATTTTGCATATGGCCTTTTAAGATCTAGTCTCTGGAAGGGCTGAAATATTATTTAAATTTCTTACTGGTTGGATAATTCTGAAACTGAGAAAGTTTTGGTTTTTCTCTTTTGTTTGTTGTTTGTTTGTTTGTTTGTTTCTATGTCTTTTTTCTTTGTTGTAAGAAGGCAATGGTGTGAGCCGACCTCTGTGGCTATTATGTTCAAGGAGGAATCAATGCGCCAGTTTGATGGTATTGTTCGTCTTCAACTGGCAACTATTGCCTGTTTTCAGTAGTCATGCAAATTTCCTCCAGAACATCTTGTATGATATCCTCCTTAGTTATCTTTCTGAAAAATGCATTTGCTGGGTGTTTGGACCAGCCATAGGATTTGAGGCAGAATTGTAATTTTGTTGCTACAACAATGAATTGACAAAATTATTGATTTATGCTTTATGTTCTAAGGTGGGATTTTATACTTTGTTGCAGGTCAGATTCTTGGCACTAACCAAGCCATTCCTGGAGTTATGCCAAACTTGTTTAATTTAGGCACCGGACAGGTATGTATCACCCCTGTGCATCTGATGGTTAAGCTATTCTTTCTATGTGTTGATGTTGTTTCATTGTCTCCTCCACAGCAATTTGGTGCTATTCCTGTTATGCCTGTTCCAGCAATGACTCAACAGGTTCATAGAATTAAGTTAATGTAGCAGTTTTTCTTTTTTCTAAAATTTTTTTCCTTATATGTGGGACTTATATTATGAGTTAATTATGATATTAGGCTACCCGGCATGCTCGGCAAGTTTATGTTGGAGGGCTACCCCCTACAGAAAATGAACAGGTTTATTCTCCTTTGTGATAATTATTCTCATTGTAAATTATCAATTTGGTAATCATACTGACCCTACATGTCAAACAACAGTCTGTTGCGATCTTCTTCAACCAGGTTATGGCCATGATTGGAGGAAACACAGCTGGTCCAGGTAACTTAGGTTTATTCAATTGATATTTGCCTTATTAATGTACTTGCCTTGTGATAGTGTTAACTCTTTTTTTTTTTTGTTATTCACAGGGGATGCAGTGGTTAATGTATATATTAACCATGAAAAGAAGTTTGCTTTTGTGGAGATGAGGTCTGTTGCAGAGGCCAGTAATGCAATGGCATTAGATGGGATTATATTTGAGGTATTTTTACATTCGTTTGGATCTTTATACTGATAAAATTAGGATATCAGTTAAAGATATAATAATTAGCTGATCTATTTGAATGCAGGGGGCTCCTGTGAAAGTGAGAAGACCTACTGACTCCCATCACTTGCTGCAACTCTTGGTCCTAGCCAGCCCAGCCCCACTCTTAACCTAGCTGCTGTTGGTCTTACTCCTGGTTCTGCTCTAGGTCTTGAAAGTCCAGACAGAATATTTGTGGGTGGGCTCCCTTATTACTTCACAGAAGTACAGAGCAGGGAGTTGTTGGAGTCTTTTGGGCCTCTTTGTGGTTTTGATCTAGTACAAGATAGAGAAACTGGAAACTCCAAAGGCTATGCATTTTGTGTTTACCAAGATCCTTCTGTTACAGACATAGCTTGTGCTGCTTTGAATGGAATTAAATGGGTGATAAAACTCTCACTGTAAAGCGTGCAAACCAGGGTGCAAATCAACCTAAACCTGAGCAAGAGAATTTATTGTTCCAGGCACAGCAGATTGCCATGCAGGTTAGAGTAAATATGTTTCCTGCCTTCTTGAATTTTGTTCTGCTGCCTCTTTATGTCAATTATATTTGTAATTTTTATACCTCATTTTCCTTTTCTTATGTTTACTTACTGATCTCTTGTCTTTCAGAGGCTTCTGCAACCTCAAAGTGCTGCTACCAAGCTTGTATGTTTGACTCAAGCTCTTAGTGAAGATGATCTCAAAGATGATGAGCAGTATGAAGACATTGTGGAGGATATGAGACAAGAGGTTAGAAGACATGGTATGGTGTAATTGTTTAGCAATCTAAATGGAATTTTTCCTTTTTTAACTTGTGGAGCCTCTTTTATATGCTTATTAATTTTCCTTTATTTTCTTTTGTTTTTATATTTCTGTTTTACAGCCTTTTCTAGTCCCACATTCTGCTAGATTCAGGCCTAACATACACAACAGATGACTCCATAGCCCTCTCTATGTTCTTATCTATGAATTCTGTTGCAAAATCTTGCTGGTTCTAAATCTTCACACAAAATATGCAGGTATATTGGTGAATGTCATCATCCCACGTCCAAACCCAAATGGAGAACCATCACCAGGTGTTGGAAAGGTCGGTATGAAACTTGCGTTTACATGCTGTTTTTTTAATTCCCTTTATGTTCTACTAGGAGGCTTATAATTTCTAGTACTAGTATTGACTTTCTGCAAGTTGCTAATAAAGCACAGTTTGTATGTTATGTATAGGTGTTTTTGGAGTACTCAGATGTAGATGGTGCCAAAAAAGCCCTCGCAGCAATGAATGGAAGGAAGTTTGGCGGGAATCAAGTTGTGGCAGTCTTCCATCCAGAGAAAAAAGTTTGCTCAGGGGGAGTATGAAGGCTAGTTAGTGTCATTTGAATTTCACATGAAATGGTGGAGCTATCAGTTTTATACTGGCTTTCTACTTTGATTTTCAAGTCTGAGGAAGAGAAATGCGAGTTGGGTCTCGTCTTCGTGTCAATTCTTGTAAAGGAAAAAAAAGGGTTTTTGTAATAATTTTGCTCTTTATTTTTAGGTTACTCATGCGGCAGGGATTGCAATGATAGCTCTAAACAGATTAGTAGACGTCAGAGTTCAGAGATTACTAAGTCATTAATTTCAGTATTCTTAGTGACTATTATTAACTGGCCAAAACCATCTATAAAACCATTCACTTGCTAGAGGGTATTCTCACTTATTCTTGATCACCATCTGTTCGTGCACTTAGGTTGTGTTGGGTTGTAGTTTTAAGGGATAACTGTTGCTTTGGAAAGTGGTCAGTTGTCCAATCAACTAACTATTGTTGATTAAACCCTTCCTCTGGACCGTGCTGCTGGGCAAAAGATTTAGGAATAAAAACTTACGGGAATGGAAAGGATTCGGTTGATTAAATGCATGGCTCTACAATCTTGGAGCAACAATTGAATGAACAACTCAGGGGGCTGCTCTAATTTCCTTGAAAGAGGCAACCAAAATTGTATTAACTTTCCGGATTCATAAAAGTCACTACTTAATAGACCTCTTGATTTCTTAGTAATTGTTAAATTAAATGCAATTTGAGAAAGATAAAAAAGAGAGAGAGAGAGAGAGAGAAAAGAGGAGAGAATAAGATTATTATTATCATTATTTTTTTTTTAAACTAGAGAATAAGATTATTGTTTATGTTGATTGATATCAACATTTTCTAATTCATGCAATTTGTCACTTTGGCCATCTTGTTCCTAATTTCCGAGTTAGTCAGGGTAAAATAGATCATGAAAATGGTTGTATTATGGAATTCTAATTAATTAATTAATTATCTATTGATTTGAATCTTGTAAACAAAAAATTAAATATTAAAAGAGTTTCATTTTTTTAATAGATTTGATACGATTTAATTTTATATTAATTAAAATTTACTGTTACTGTTAAATACTGAAAGTTAGTTAAAAAATAATAAAAGAATTCTAATCAATTTCAATACTATTCAAATTGTTGTGCTTCCAATCAAGTCTACCGTAATGCGCAAGCTCATCTTCTTTTTTTTTTTGGCAAAACCATAAGTTAAGCCCCTGAACCAACCCCAGAATCGCAATTAAGCCCCCAGACTTTAATTGAAGCAGATAAGCCCTTGAACTCTGCGATCGGTGCAATTTAGCCCTTCTTCTTACGGCCAACTTAACTGCCGTTAGGACCTCGCTTGCGTGGCAACATTTTGCCATGTCATGCCTATGTGGCAAGTGATTTAGCATTTGGGTTGTCCACTTGGATGCCACAAAAAAAAAAAATTTTAGAACGAAAGGCAAACATAAAAGGAAGGGAGCCTCGGGTCCACCGTCCACTTCAAGTTCCCCGATCCCCTGAGCCCCACTTCTTAAGAAACGCAGAGAGATCAGGGATTAGGGTGTTTTTCGGAATGATTAGGGTGGTTTTTGGGGAATGATTTGGGTTTCTTTGCGGAATGATCGGGTTTCTTTCTAGGAATGATCTGAGTTTTTTTTCTGGGGAACGATTAGGGTGGTTTTTGGGGAATGATTTGGGTTTCTTTCCACAATGATCAGGGTTTCTTTCTAGGAGAGATCTGGGTTTTTTTCTGGGGAACGAAACGATTGGGTTTTTTTTCTGGGGAACGATTAGGGTGGTTTTTGGGGAATGATTTGAGTTTCTTTCCAGAATGATCAGGGGAGCGATCTGGGTTTTTTTTTTCTGGGGAACGATTAGGGCTTCTTTCTAGGAACAATTAGGGTTTTGGGAACCTGAAATTGGGGATTTGGGATTCGAAACAATTTGGGATTAGGTCGAGTCATTGTTCTATATCATGTGTTAATCTATGGCTTCCTATGGATGCAGGAAGGACGTTCGATGGATGCGCTACTGGCAGTTTCGTTTCCTTTGAGCTTTTTGCTGGTACTATATACACTAATATTTTTGAAAATTTTATTTATAGAACCTAGCTCTTTCTCTCTGTTTTATATGATGATAGACTGATAGTGAATGCATTTTCTTTGAATGGCATGATGGAGAAATCGTTGGAAGAGCACCTGATGTGATTCGGCATTTGAAAGAGGAAAATGAGTGGTTGAAGTCTCAACGAAAAAGGGTTCCAAGAGGACAAAGAGGTAACCTGAGTCATGTTGAAAATTGCATTGAGAATCTAAGGGCTGACTAGAGGGGGATGAATGTTGAAGGAAGCATTGAGAAGGTGAGAGCTAATTTGAAGGAAATAGATTTTGAAAGGCCTATTGAGATGCTAAAGGATGAAATGTCCACGGAGTTAGTGCAGGATGAAAGCAATGGGTGATGGTATTTGTATTGGAGTTGAGAATTCAGTTAGGAGGTTGATTAAGAAGTTGTTGCTGACTATTGTAGTTGTTGTGGTTATTATAGCATTTGTTTATGGTCAGTTATAAAATGACCAATTCTTAAACTGTTTTTGTTAAGCTGCTCTTTTGTTAAGTTAGAAGGTGGTAGTTAATGTAGACATTGGCAGCTATGTAGGATTTTGTATGTAGACATTGGCAGCCATGTCTCTTGTACAATCTGTATCCATATTCTTCCTTATCAATGACAAAAACGCTTTTGCAGTAAATGAGTCTTTACTTCTTATAATGTTAAACTAACAAATAAATGACCATTTGCAGCAAAAAGCTTGAACAATGAAAAGAACAAACTAAATAAGCATCTTCTTGATCAGTGACTGAATAATAAACATTTACCTAAACTTTTATATCCTTTCTTATAAACTTAGCATTGTTTCATAGCTTAACATAGCACTTGTACAGAGTGCATGAACAAAAACAAATCATGCCCAAATATGGTTCATCACCACAATAAAACATGTCATAAATAACAAAAGCTATGTTAACTAATCTATGGTACTACAAAAGTGCAAACATAATTAAAAGCTCCACAAAAATTGTGCAACACACTAGACACAAACTCCAGCTGCCTAAGAATTCTCTAGTGCACAAAAGACACAAATTTTGGCTGCCCATAAATTCTCCATTACACAAAAGACACAAAAGACATAAACTTCAGCAATATAGCATAATTAAAAGGCTTCAAAGTGCTGCCCAGAAATTATCTTCAGTAGCCAAACTCATGTTATCTCCAGTTGGGGGCATCACAAAAATGTTCCTTTGCTCGGTTGAAGGACCATCCATTACTATAGTTGAAGCAGTTGGGCCTCCACTACTGCTTTGTGCAATTTGCTCATTTACAGCTTCTCTAACTGTCACATTTGTATGCAGTCCAGTCTATAAATAATTAAGCATATTAGTAAGCACAATTAAATCACTAACATACCAAACTTAATAACATAGCATATGATAAATAAATTGGATACTCACATGCCAAATCATTGCACCAATTTGCTTAGTAGTTTGTATGTTACTTTTTGAACTTTTCTCTTTTTGCTTCTTATTTTTCCCACTCTCATAATTAACCTTTTCTTTTCCTTTCTTATTTGCAAATGAAGATTGTGGCTGCTCACGTGAAACAATCTGCAGTCATCATTAAAAATTAATAAGCTATGCTATTTAAAATGACAATAAATTATAAAACATAAAACTAGAACAAATGAAAAAAAGGTGATACAGTGTTTTCAGCTAGTGATGTTAGGCAAGATGGGGCATTTGATGCTTGTGAAGGATTGACATTCACATTAGTCTTAACCTGTAGACATATTTAAAACAGATTATTAATTAAAAATAGTATTATAAATGAAATTAGTAATGTAAATAAACATAACACTTGCAACTAACAGCTTTAGGTTTTCGATGATAAGCTACAGATGGCCTTCTTTTTGACCCATTTGTTGATGCAATAGCTGGAGGCATCTACAATGCATTGACATTTAATTTAGTGTATTTCACACAGCATTATTAAAGAAAAAGTTTAATAAACAAATAATAGTTGTGGACTTACTTGATCATTCAATTTGAAGGGACAAGATAATTTGTTATGTCCTCCTTACTTACAATTAGAGCAAGTCATGACTCTTCCTTTCCTTGAGAGTATAACTGCCTCAGACACTTTTTTGGGCTCATCTTTGGACTTTCTCCTATTTTTCTTTGGCCTTCCAGGCCTTTTTCTAACCGGGGGTGGATTCAAAGGCTCACCATGAAATTTTTGCCATGATTTATCCCCACACATTCCCTTTATAGGGAAGCCATAAGCTAAGGCATACTTCTCTTTCTTGTACCAATCAGCAACAAAGTCTTCAGGTACCAAATTTTCATGGTACATATAACATACAGCATGTGGACAAGGTATGCCATTCATTTGCCAAGTTCTACAAGTGCAGGTTCTCTTCATCAAGTCAACCACATGTCTGTTACTATTTTCCAGCCGTACATGCTTCACCTCAAATCCAGTTCTTCCATCCCAAACCAATTTCCATGAAGATGACTCTTTCTTGTTGGCCTCTAACTTCTTTCTAGCTCTTGGTGCAATATCACCTTTCCATTTGGAAATGAATGCATATTTTTCACCAATTCTCTCCATCACTTGAGATCTTAAAGTATCAACCATGGAGATAATAGCCAAGTACCTTGCTTCCATAACCCAAAAATTGAAAGACTCACACATGTTGTTGTCAACCACATCACAACAAGGCTCTTCATCAAAAAATGCCCTGCACCATTTTTTTGGATCATATCTCTGCAAATCTGTCCAAGTAGCCTCAGATAGCTTCTTCAACAGCATCATTTGGTGCTCGTACTCCTCTGGCCAGCTAGCTCGAGCAATAGCCCATAATCTTATTTTAAATTCCTCCCCTCTCCAAATCTTTGCCCAATTTGCGTATACATGCCTTGCACAGTATCTGTGCTTTGCATATGGAAAAACAGCTTCCCTTGCTGATATTATTCCCTAAAAGCATGTTAAAATAAGTCAAGACATAATTAACTAGTTAATGTAATAAAATATGCATCATTAAGTACAAATTACTAGTTAATACCTTGTGCATGTCTGATATTATTGTTAAACCCATTCCTTCACCAAATTCGATGTCAATATTCAATAACTGCATGAACCACTGCCAATTGTCTTTGTTTTCGGTGTCAACCACAGCCCAAGCTAATGGGAACATTTGATTATTCCTATCTCTCCCTATGGCATATAATAATATACCTTTACAGAGGCCTTTTAAAAAAGAACCATCCACCCCAATAATTGGTCTGCACCCAGCTTTCCAACCCTTTTTACAGCCGT